TCAGAAACTCTCCACAGTGGCCAATTTAGATTTATGTAACAACTAAGTTTATAAAACCTGGAGAAAATAGAGGTAAATTTGCATTAAGCTAGTGTGATCAATTTTAATTCATAAATATGTGAATGTTCAAGATAGGTTTACATGCTCAATCCATGTTATTCAAGTAAAAAATTTGCAAATGAAAGATTGAAGCAGTTAATGTTTGAGCTAATTCACAAGCTTCAACTGACTGCCTTGATAATGAATGATTAAGTTGTCCTCTCACAATAAAGAGTTGTAGATTTTGCCGTCTCAGTCCTGCTATTTACTGTTGGCCTTAGTCAGGCAAATGACTACTTTCTACACAGTCATCAACCAATGGTGTGCTATAGAATAAACTCTTAGAATTAGGCCAAGAGGAGTGACCAAACTGCAGTGTCTCAAGCTTACTCATAACAGATGACAAAGGCTTTATTCCAGTTTCTATTTGTACCAGACTTCTCTCCATCAGCTGTTCCTCCAGATGCCTGTAATCAAAAGGGGCAAAACATAGCTGCATGGATTTATGTAAATTTGGCAAAAAAAGAGATTTGGGATGTGCAATAAACTCAAACTTAGCGTACGGTGCTCCATATAAAAAGGTCAAGGTTTGAAGACTACTTGATCACAGTGTTGTGTTTTTTTCAATCCGGCTTCAATAATAACATTAGTTACAATTACACACAGAAAACCATGTGGAATACAAATGAACATTTACTCACTTGTGAATGGCCCTTGATCCAAGAGGGATTGTTTCTACAGCTTTGAGAATAGCCGTCCCCTCACAAATGTGACACCAGAATCAACTGAGTCAAGGAAGTAATAAGTAGTCTAACATCTAATGCAAATAAATATATTAAGTGGATCTATTCAGGTCATTCAATCATTACATTCACTAAATGACAAGACTGTTAACACGATGATGCACCACTGGTTATTGTCTCGCATTACATGTTCAAGATTGTTCTGAAAATAAAATCCAATACTTAAAAGTTTATCACCTAAAAAGAGACAGAAAATAATGATGAACAATTTTTCAATCCTCTTTTTACCTTAACCCTTTAATCCCTAAAAGTAACCAGGATATAATTTCTCCTTACAGCATTGCTGCTGAATCAAACATTGAGGTTAGAAGAAAATGGCTGTGAGCTAGAGAAGCTTGAGATTTAGAATTCTCTTTGTCAGTACCATAGGAAAGGAGCAGTATGGATAATATATATATATATATATATATATATATATATCGATGCAAGGGTATTGCATCTTATTTCTCCCAACTGTATAACCCCTGCATCAAACAGTAAGGTCACAAGAATAACAGAAATGATCACCAACTAAATATTCTCTCACTTAGGGTATAAAGGGTTAACGGTTAATCCCATATGCAATGATACATTTACTGAAAAGGATATTGGTAAAACGATGGTCTCTGTAAAGCCACAGTCCAAGACTAGTCCTGATGGTATTCCGAGGGTAAAGAGTGCTAAAAGGTGATGGGGTGCAAACAGTACTGAAGGCACCTGGCAGTGAAATCGTAATAATTTGGAATTGTTAAGAGAAATGTTAAGTACTAAATGGAGGGGACTGGATTGAGGCTTCAAGTCACTGTATTCCTTTTTGTTCCCAAGCTTTTAGCGGCCTCTGGCATCATCAAGGAATGAAAAATAATACTAACAGTAGCTCAAGGCCTTAATTGAACCATCTGTCTGACTGGCATGCTATCGAAGGATAACTTCAAATGTTTATTATTAATAAGAATGACACTTTCTGGTTCAGCTGAGTCTTACATATATTGAAATATGGGCTTCCCGTAATTATTTTTAATCAGAAAAAAATTTTTTTATGTATGCATCACCTCAAAGTGCTTGAAAAGGACCTTGGCGATGGTATTTCTCCAAAGTGTAGAGCAAAGCACAGACTCACAAATAACAACTCGTCTGTCTCGTGGGTTGACAAGAAGGTACCTGAAAATGTCAATGATCAGACAGAGGACTTATTAACTGGAAACTATTTTGCAAGTCCCTTCCCTTACTCTTAGAAGTAACAATACTATGATCAGCATTGTTAAATTTGCTGCATCCCTCACAACACAATACAGACCACTGATTTTCTTCTTTGTCAAAACTTTTTGCAGTTGGTTGTCATTGGGTGCTATAATTATCTTGAGCTGTGTAGAGCTAATTTTTAATTCATGGAAAGGTACATTTCATAGACAAATCAAGTTTTTTTTTAAATGTTAGGAAAATCACTCCTACAGGAAAACCAGTTTCTATAACGTGTGTTTTATACACAACCTTACCATACCTGAAATAAACTTGATGAAGAAAGTCTCTAAGGATAGCATATAATTCATCTGGCCTTTTGTCTTGTTCATGACTGACAACATTCACAGTTTCCCTCTTCACAAAAGGAGGAAAAAAGAGCAAATTCGATACCATACCACAAGTTAGGCATTAAACTTACTGGAAAGGCATTCATTTTAACCCTTTCACTCATGACATTCTATCAGTAATTCTCTTTACTGTCTTATGTATAATTCTTATGATTTTGGTTCAGAAACTTTGGCACTGGGTCAACTAATAATCCCTTGCCTAATTATCTCCCAGGATAAAATACCAGTCTATTCCAGGTCTCCCTCCACCCACCCCTGCATGTTTTCAGTTTTTGTTTTTTTTCACAATCCACTGGTATCCAATGATCCACTCCAAGGTGGGGAGTGGCACTGTGAAGGTAGAGTGTCTCAAGCATGCAACAAAATGACTTAGTCTGGTTCTGAAACCTGCACCTCTGGACCCAGAGTCCAGTCCCTAACAGTTGGGCCACTATGTCTTCTACTGTTTATTTACCAGCTGACCCTTTAACAACTCCTAGTATTTATTAATTAATACATCTTCCTGCAATATACCAATAGGTGATGTTTCATGCATACAACACCAAATTCTTTCAAATCTCTCAATCGATTTACAAAGAAATTATAGAATGTTGATCATGTAATGGGAGACAGCGTCTTCCAACACAGATTAGTATAAGTAGATACCTCTCCATTTATTGTGTGCGTAATGACACTTCGAATGATATGACGAGGACTTGTTTCTGAGGCAAAACCACATCTGAAGGATTAAAAGAATAAAATCGGATTTAGATGAACTTTAGATACGTTTTTACCTAAATGTTGAAGACAAAATGAAGTAAAACGTATCTTTTTCTTTTTATACCCGAATGGCATGTCTTGCAAGTGGTGATGAAACACTACTGGAAAACTAATTGATCGTTTGTTATGGGAAAGAATCATCTTCGATCACTGAAGACATCAAGAGGAACACTGCCCAAAACTACCGGTATTACCGAGTACCTTCTCAAACTAGATCTACAAAAGGTTGATAAATGAGATAACAAACAAGTAAAAAAAAAAGATTAAAATATGTCTATTGCGATAAATTTCAACAGCTGATTTCAACCAAAATTGGCTAACGCTAGCAAGGTTGACGACATTAACACCCAACTTTTCACAATGTTTGCAATACATGAACCTTTCTTACTTCGTATAGGCGGCCCCGATGTCAATAACAACCGCGTGCTTTTCTGCTCCAAGTCCAATAACGTCAAACAAAGGCATTATCCGTCTCTCATTTCATATCAAACACTCAGAATCAAATCCTCAATACATAAAATTCTCGGATTCTCTCCAAATCAACTCCTTTGCAAATGCAATATAGACGACCGCAGTTACAGTATCAGCGGTTTCATATTGGAAAATATTAGTTCCGGTCAACCTCAGTCCTCTCGCTTCGGCCTTTCCTGTCCCTAGGGGGTTTCCGGTTACGACTTACAAGACTTGCTTCAGGACCCGCTTGTCTGACCCGCTTTTAAAATGGCGGGAGAGGCGAAGAAGTTTGATGTGGTGGTTGTTGGCTCTTGCATGACAGATCTCGTGAGGTTGGATATGAGGAGACGTTAGAATGTTCATGAATAGCTACGTGGATTGTTAATTTATCTAACTGAGTCGATCTTGCTTTTTTCTAGCTATGTTCCTCGGCTCCCTAAAGCTGGCGAAACCATTCATGGTGATAAGTTTGTGATGGGGTTTGGAGGAAAAGGTGCGAATCAGTGTGTGATGGCAGCTCGGCTAGGGGCTAAAACTGCAATGGTTGCCAAAGTGAGTACAATACATTTATCTTCCTGACGAAGATGAATGCAATATTTAATTTATGAATATGCAAGATGCAGTCAAAATAAAGTTGTACGCGCCGGTGAGCTAACACGCACGGCGCACGTTAAAATAGTGCTGTGTGTGTTTCTCTAATTCAGGCTGCTATTTCTAATTTCGTTTTGTTAACTGCGCTGTTTTACATGAAATGTTGATAAGAATGCCAGGAAGTGATTTCCCTGATCATCGGGCATTGTGCGGTACATTTTTCCATTCAATAGCATTTGTGTGTTTAGTATATACCTTCTAATTAAAATGAGCGGATCAATATCTATGTAGATTTCAATCTGACTTGGCTTGAGTTCTTGCTTATAATATTACGGATCGGGTGAAGTTATGCGCTTGAATGTTTCGCATTCAAGCTCTTTATATCAAACACTAAAAAGTGTTCTAGAAAAAGGTATGATTTAGAATGACTAGGTGTTATTTAAAGTACCAGTAAATCGAATGTATAAGTTAAATTTTGTAACATAGCTCGAATCGTGCATCTCAACTCGGAAATAATTGGGAATTAGTGCGATAAATTTGTAAATAGCCAGAAATCAAAACCGCACAATGTGTTAATCTTTCTTTTTTCCAAATTCCTTGCCATAAACCGGTTTGTGAAGCCATACTAAGTATTTATATTTAAATGCTGTTTGTATCAAAGCTACAAAGTAACTCTGGGATAAGTCATTTGTTTATACGATACGTTACAGAAACTGTGTTGTGCAAAGTAAAAATTGTACATTGAAGAAACATTTCTTTCACAACTGATCAATAAATGATGCTGTTTCCTTTGGCTTCAGTCATTAATCTTCTTTTTCTCATCGTGGTAATATAATTGATTGCTTGAAAACGTCAGTGATTCTTTGTGAGTACACTTTATTTAAAATGCAAATGTTTTAGCTCCAGCCGAGCAGCTGTCGCGCAGACTGAGGAAAATTGAAAAATTGAGTACCCTTTGGACTAAAGTGCCTCCGTTCTAAAAGGGACCATTGAATGTTTGCCTTGTTGCTTGAGTGTCAATGAAGTTGACAGTTAAGGCAGAAAGAATGTTCGTTATAACAGAGATGACTATGCTAATGTCCTTTCCACCAAATTTAATCATTTTCAGTGTTTAGCGTTTAGGTGACAAATATTTGAAATCAGTGTAATCGATCCTTGTTTGAAATGTTTTAATTTATTTCCCTAATCTCTAACAAAAGAGTGAAATTTTGAAAAGCTCTTCCTTTGGAATCTAGGCTGTTTACGGAGGCTTCCTGTGGTTGTAATTCAACCCTTTGTTGATGTGTATTTAAATGGGATAAGAAAGTGGCACGACCTACTCGGTGTTGGTGTATTTAAAATATTATTTTTGTTCCCACAATGAATCTGTTGATTAATCTAGAGTAAACATTTCAGAAGATAATCTAATTTTGCATTAATTATTGAAACATAATCTTTTAATATTTATAATTGCACAGTTGTCAACACAGCCATTTGTCTACTTAAATTTACTGACAGAAGGAAATTCTTACTTTTATCTGTTAGGCTTAGGCAGGGATGTAGCTAAAGTTTTTAACAGGCAGGAATCTTGCAATGATAGCATAGTATAAGGATATTATAGGGAGAAGCTACATGTTTATCACCTCTGGGAGTTAAAGGGTCAAATGGAGTTAAAGGGTCAAATGGTAAAAGATGATTAAAGAAGTGATTCAAAATAGATTCTCATGCACACTTTATTTACGTACTTTCATGAGGAAAGGAGAACAGGATCTTGACATAAAACCAAAGTAGCAATTCTCTTTTTAAGCTGTGGCATTCCTTTGTGAGTGAGTGAAGAGATTCTTGTGTTAAATTAAAATAAATAGTATATAGTGAGGTGAGGAGGTTGGCTATTCTCACCACCTTCTGGTTAGATAAGGAACTGGTGATTAAAGGAGAAATGAAATGGTGATCACCTGGTAGTAATAGAGTTTCACGAATCTTTAGTTTTAAAGGAAATATAAATCTTGCCGTATTTTTATGGTGCTTCCTCTGTGATTTTTTCTTAGGTTGGTGATGATTCTTTTGGACATCGATATATTGAAAATTTTAAACAACACGAAGTCAACACAGGTAAGCACATGGTTAGAAAGTTGTTGGAACTTACTTGTTGCCAAGATCATTTCAATTCTCCCTGGAATTAGTTAGAATTAACATGTTGATCAAGTGCTGGGAAACCGAATTCCTGATTTGTTCAGTCTGTAGTTTTGTTAATTTATTACTTTCTTGTAGATCATGTGGGAATCACTAAAGAGGCTGCTACTGGAGTTGCTCCTATCTCAGTGAATTCAAATGGTAACTGAATTAGATTTGTGTAATGGTAGTAATGTTATATTACGAAGCTACATGTATACTTGAGTCTTGAGATAGACATCTTGAAAACACTTGTCATTAGATTTAGCAAAATAATATTGACTCTGAAGACTAACCTTTCTGTTCGTTGGACTCAAGTTTGTTATGGATGGTTGGCATTGATCAACAATTGACAACCTTCGTGATGTATGGTATTTCTATGATGAGGGTTAAGTCTGTACTCAAACCTATTGGCCCACCCAGCCAGAGCTTATCCCAGTTTCCATGTAACATGAAGTGACAAGGAGTATCACTACTCCCCCCTGGAAGGGATGCTAGTTCATGTAGAGGTTCCCCCCCCCATAGCATTTCATCAGGCTTCCCTGACAATTTGCTGTTACCCATTTATACTCCTGGGTGGAGAGCGGCACTGTGAGGGTAGAGTGTCTTCCCAAGAAGACAACACATTGACCTGGTAAAAGTGAAGAACAGTTCCCAAAAGATACTGCCAGTTGGCCAACTGTTGGCTGACAGTTTTTGTTATGTTTCAGGCCAAAGTTTTGGCTGACTGTTAGCCAACACTCGGCCGACAGTTGGTGACCTGTTGGCCACTTGTCGGTAACCTGTTGGTGGGTCGTAAACTGAAATGATTGTAAACATTTACTTATCTATTGCTTCTAAAACTACATAAAAAGGGGAAAAGTCATTTCAAAAAGATATCCAGCACTGTACCCTCAGTAGCTACTATGGCTTTTGCCTACTTTTTTACATTGGCTTGCAAACTTTCCCAAATTGGTTTGATTTCATTTATCTGCCATATTGAAAATTTTTTCTAGTTCCAAATTCCCTAAATGCACTGCCTCCAAAACCCTTTTAAGAAAGTCTTTATTTGGCTAGAACTATTTGGCCTGTTAGTTCATTCACTTGCAAAGTGGAGAAAACGAACTATTTTGTGTACAAACAAGGATATAAGAAATAGGTACTAAATTTAGTACTTGATTTTGGTACTTAAGGTCGGGAGATAGGTTAAATAAGCTTGTTTTACCATTTAAACAGAATCAAGTAGATAGGTACAAACAATGCAATCGACATGTTTCTATTTACTGTTTTCGACTGGAAGAGTTTTGACTCTGTTTTCAGTCAATTTTTGGTCTACTTAACACTGTGGGCGGACTGTCGGTAATGTGTTGGTAATGTATCCATAACCTGTCAGTGGACAGTTGACTGACAGGTTACCGAAAGCCAAAAATGGGAACCATTGTTCACCATTACCCATTGACCCAGCCAGGTCTCTTGCTCAGACCTATCAACCTGGGGTCCAGTGCACTGACCATCAGGCCCCTGCTGTTTCTATAATGCTACCAAAAATGATATGTAAGGTACGTAAAATTTAAGACAATCTTTCCCCACTACATTAGAACTTTAAATACCTCACTGAAGGTATGCTGCATTTGCAGGTGAAAATTCTATCGTCATTGTCAGTGGAGCTAATGATATTCTGTCAGAAGAGGATGTTAAAAGAGCAAAGTCTGTTATATCATCAGCATCAGTTTGTGTTTGTCAGCTTGAAATTAATCCGGAAGTAACACACTACACTTTATCTCTTGCAAAGAAAAATGGAGGTTAGTATGAGTTTGTGTGGAATATCTTCATACAGTCAAACCTCTCGGCAACATCTTCCTTTACCTTCTACACCCTAACATCAGTTTGCAAGCTCTCCATACTGTTCTTGATATATTACCCATGGTGTTTACAAGGTGATTTTGCCCAATAATCAAGAGCTTCTTCACTTAAAAAAGCCTTAGTATGCTCTCTGTTATTAATGATACTATGCCAGATGAAGGGGACTTGGAGTTCTTCATGTTGAAATATTTATCAACCCCTATCAGTGACTAACTTCATGCTTTTTTTTATGCTTGCAGTACAAACAATATTCAACCCTGCACCAGCTCTGTCATGGCTAGATTATTTTTATTATGCCCTTAGTGATGTATTCTGTGCAAATGAAAGTGAGGTAATAATAATGATAAAAAAATATCAAGTCTAAATTGTAGATTGCAGAAACGTAGTGCATGATTTTATCATTTTCAAGTGTCATGTTAGAATTTCAGGTAATGTTGTGCAAGTCACGAGGCATTTGAATAACTCAAACAAAATTTTTATTGACATTAAACCCATTCACTTCCAAGACCTCATTAGTCGTTTGCCTTACTGTCTGCTATGTTATTTTTATGTAAGTTTGATCTGTAGGAGACATTACTTGTCTACAATTTTACGTACTCTTAACCTAAAAAGGTACTCCTGTTTAATGCAGCTTTCTATTTTTGATAGTGCACTTTAATTTGATGGTGTTCTTCTTTTCCCCCATGGCTTTACTGTTTGTTTTGTAAAAGGTAGAGATGGTTACACCCCAAGGATTCCATCTTGTTTCTAACCTGCAGTCAATGATTAATTTTTGCAGGGAGCATGATCATGTTGCAAGGGGGAGGGAAGGATGAAATGAAACCAACAAAAAAATGCTTTTTTTTGCCGCCTGACCTACTGTTTGCCTTGCTACATTGTCAAGCTTAAAAAAAAAAGAACCCTTGAGACTGTTTGCAGGCATCCTTTTACACTCAACTTTAGTGGAGAGCATGCACACAGTGAGAATATAGTGTCTTGCTGAGAACTCCTGCTGACCCAGGCTATGTTTCTTAGCAAGAAGTTTTGATGTGGACTCAAGCATGCAAGACATCAGATCCCCCCCACCTTTCATCTCATGTACTTTGCGACTAAGACCTCATTAGTGGTAACTTCTGTTGCAGGCTGAACTTCTAACAGGATTATCAGTAAAAACTATAGAAGATGCAGAGAAGGCTGTCATCATGATATTGGAGAGAGGGGCTCGTAGGGCAGTTATCACACTTGGCAATAAAGGCTCCGTTATTGGAACTAAGGAAAACCGCATACCCAAACACATTCCTGTTACAGCAGTGGAACCTGTGGATACCACGGTAATGCTGAATATTCAAAACTTTCGTACCAGGAACTTTCCAGAAGTAGTCAGTGTTTACGCCCTACCATCAGTAAACATGTTCTGCCTTCTGTTCTCTTTACATTTCATAATGTTCCGATAAGGAGAGTTTGTTTAGCAATCAAGAGTATGTGCACTTCTGATAGATAGATATATAGCTGTGATTTATCTTGGATTTTAACCAACCAAATACAATCAATCGGTATGTTAGAGTTAAATTCTTATTTTCAGAGGTTTCATTGAGAAATTTATTAATGGGAGAACACTTTATATAAACTGGAGTATATACTCTCTGTCTCTGAATAGAAACAAGCTCAGATCCTTGAAATTTTTGTTCCTTTTTCATGTGGTAGTTGTAGAATTCTCTAGTCTTCAGTGCATAACACCCTCATTTTGCAGTTCATTTAATTTATAACGTCCATTTTCACTGCAAGTTGCGCCCTTGACATTTTTTTTTTGGTCTTGTTTAGGGAGCTGGAGATGCATTCATTGGGGCTCTTGCATTTTACATGGCAAAATTCAAGGACCTCCCTTTTGATGAGGTTGTTAGGAGATCTGGTGAAATTGCCAGAGCAACTGTGTTAGCTGTGGGTACACAGTCTAGCTATCCTACTAAAAAAGAACTGCCATCCTCTCTGTTTAGCAACACTGTTTCAAGGGACAGAATATCCTCAACATAAAACTTTTAGCTACTTTCAACAAATCTTAAATTAAAAATATTACTATTTTTTAAAATTATTGTCATGTGAATGACTCCAAATATACCTGTCTTAGGTGTAATATGAATGAAACAAGAACACTACATTTAGGAGTGTTAGGAACAAACTGAAGAGCATTATACAAAACAGATGGGTTGCCAGTCCATGGTAAGAACTGAAGTTACCCCTGTAACTTTCATGATCTGATTGATAATTCTCTCCTCTTGCTGCTAGACATTTCCTTTAAATTAGTTCTGAGAATTTGGTGTTTGATCAAGATAACAGTTTCTACCCAATAAGTTTGATTATTCTCATAACCTGTTTGCTGGATAATGTATGGATGTTATAAGGAGAAGTTACATGTTAATCACTCCTGGGAGTCAAAGGACAACTACGTCTCTGTAATGTTACAGCTTTGTGTAATTGTTGGCCCCAAAGATGAAGTTTGTGCAATAATTTAAGGCTCCACTCCTTTTTGTTGCATAGATTGGTCACTGCTATTGTTATGATAATTCCTTTATAGATACAAGTAATCAACTTGCATATTTACGAGCACACTGTTATTGTGGATTAAAAAAATTGGAGAAATGAAGATATTTGGTGTGCTGATGCATGGCATTTAAGTGAGGTATAGGTTTGTGCTACACCAACAAGTAACTGTAATTTTTCTTGTAGACAGAATTTAAGGAAAGATTAAGCATGTTGTAACCAATATGGTGACTCACTGTTGCCTGTTACTGCTTTTGTGTAAGCTACTAGTGAGCAAGCTTTAACCTTGATACCTTCTAAAAAAAACCCTGTTATCTGGCACAACAAACCAATTAAACGCTGTTGGTCAGTAATATTTTGTTTGAGAATGGACAATAATGGAAAAAGTATCTAATAACTTTTGTCTTCCTTTACTGATATATGTTTATTATTTACATTAGGAATTGAATTCTTGTACAGTAAATATCAGAAAATGACCATCAGTAGTAATGTTAATAGTGACAAATATCTGCAAGGTTACTTGTGAGATTGCCATTGGCTGGGTATATTCTGATCCATCAACTACCTTTGTACTCAAACCCTTAAACTCCCAAGATTTGCTTTTTAACTCTCCAACCAATCTCCAACACATTTCCTTGTAAATACACAGTGAGAATTTGGTGTTGAATCAAAATAAAAACTTCTACCTGATAAGTTTGAATATTCTCTTTACCTGTTTGCTGAATGGTGTATGGATGTTGTAGGGAGACTTTACATTTTTATCACTTCTGGGAGTTAAAGGGTTAAAAGTAATCACAAGCAATTTTATTGGGTGTTATGCAAAGAATATTTCATGTGATGATAAAGAAGCAATAAAAATCTTTAATAATAAAAATAACACTTCTTCCTGTAAATTTCCTTCCTCATTTAGTTGTCTTTTGTTTCCTTAATTCACATGTTACACTCTTGAGCCTCATAGAGAACTGGACATGAAGAAGTTACATAATGCACTATGAATTTGCTACACTTCATGCTGTAAAGGGTGAATGTACCCAAGTATGAAACATAGAATGCAATTCCAATGTGGTGGAAAATTAATTATTGTCAAGTCCATGAATACTCTCAACTTTCCTTTCTCTGTCACCATCTGCACTTCACTTTTGTTTTATTTATCAATGTCCTTGCATACTCCATTTCTGAATATTCCTTTGGATTGAACTTGTATTTAAATAGTAACTGTACATCTGTCAGCAATTCTTACAATGGGTTCCCATGGGCCATCACTTCCCCTTTTTGACTTTTTGCTCCACAAACAGCACATGCTTGTTCACTAAAGGAAGAAGTATTATAATTATCGGGTGGAACATTAAAAATGGTGTTATTATAACAGGCTATCTAACTTTCTTCCTGTGAAGATCTGAGAACGATCATTTTTGTTACTAAGCTAATAAAACCCAAATTCCAGACTATAATTGCTGGTTCATTTGGCTTCACCAGAAATTACTTTTTTATAGAGGAGGATGCTTGCATTGCCAACATCAGTTTCAATTAACAATTGGTTCATATGTCAGTGTGCATTCATCGAGATATGAAGCATGCGGGAAGTTTGGAGAGCACGAAAGATGTGTAAGAGTTGCTCGAGGCGTAGCCTCAAGCAACTCTAGCTTCTTAAGCGCTCTCCAAACTTCCCAAGTGCTTCATATCTCGATGAATGCACAGCTGACCTATGAACCAAATGTTTTATAACATTATCAACCCAAAGGGAAATTTTTTTCTTGAGGGATTTGTTTGCTGACATCATGAGCGTGCACAGTAGGAATATAAAGCATGCTCACACAATTGAATTTGATCAGACAAATTTACTAGCTATGTTGTAAAATAACTTGCATCGCCGTAGTTGTTAGCATGAAGATGTACACATTACTATCTGGGTCTAGTCAACATCTCTATGGTAAACCTCGACCTCTAATCCACTAAATTGATGTTCAACAGTATAATGAACCACAAAACAAATAATTCGTCCGCAAAGACGGACATCTACCCTCCCTTCCATCACCAATTTACCATGTCCTCAGTTCACGTGGACACTGCTGGCCTGCTGTCTATCTATCACTATTTCAACCAAGCTGTTATCAACAAGCCGCACTCACCGATTGGATCGTATTTCATGAACTCCAGCTTGGGTTTGAGTCTGTTCCTGGACATCATGTAATAATATCCAGTACCAGCCATACTAACAAGTTGCACAATAATGCGCCTACAAAACAATTAAGTAATAACGAGGTTAATTCTTTACGATCTCGGTGGATCTATGCCGCTGTCACATACAATGACAGCGTTATCGATCTCTCGGTTGTAAGTATGAACCACTTCATAACACGCCTACCTTTAATTTCAACAAGACTGCGTATTTATTCGCCAGGATCTCAAACACAGCACTGAAGACTGTCCACGCATGTTTTTTTCTTTTCTAAAAAGACCTTTTTTGAAGCCGATCGCGACTCAGATCATTACCAATTAAAATGCCATAACGAAAGATCACTTACTTTGATTTTGACTTGGCCGCTGCAGATCAAAAGAGAGAAAACAATTTTAGAAATAAAGAGGCAAAAAGCAACGAGTCTACAAGGAACGAAGAGAATATACTTACTTCTACTCGTAGAGAGCAACATTTTGCCGCCAGAGAATCAAAATGGCGCCTTTTTTCTACTTTATGTAGCAGTCCCAAAGAGTGGCCTCACAAGCAACCCACAAAGGTCCCTGGGATATCTTAAGCGCGCAGAATTTCATTATGGCGCGTATCGGCAGAGATCTTGCGTGCAATATTTACATCATGACACCTGAAAGGTATAGTGATTATGTCTGGCCAAGTCACTTAGTTCGCAAAAATATGTAATCTCCTTCTACTGCCAGGTATGATCCGCCCTCTGCAAGAAGAGGTGCGATCTCGTCTAAGATCAGGGGTCGCCATCACCAACTTCACGCAATGCGTCGAAGAACTTGTTTTGAACAGCTTAGATGCTGAAGCTACCTGCATCACAGTTCGGATAGACATTCCGAATTTTAAGATCCAAGTGTGCGATAATGGTATTGGTATAACCCACGGAGATCTGAGATTTGTTGGAGAGCGATACTCGAGTAGTAAATGCCATGTGCTTGAAGATTTGGAACAGCTGAGTTTTCATGGTTTCAGAGGAGAAGCTCTTGCAAGTATACGAGAGATTTGCGATGTGCTAGAAATATCCACCCGTCATCGGTCTTCTCATCAAACTTACTGCAAATTGTTTCGAACTTCTCAAGTCCTTGAGCTCAAAGAGTCCCGATTTCCGAGAACTATCCGTGGAACAAGTGTAACAGTTCATGGGCTTTTCTCAAACCTTCCTGTGAGACGTAAAGCTATCATGGAAACACTTGACTTTGACCGTGTTCGGCATAGAATTGCATCCATAGCTCTTATAAACCCAAAGACTGCATTCACATTGATAAACGATTCATCGGGTGTGAAATGCCTTCGAACGCATGACTGCAAGTCTGTTGTCTCAGCATTCTCTCAGCTGTTTGGCAACCAAAGATCAAAACATTTGCAACAAGTACAATTTGAACAGGACAACTTCAAAGTTTCTGGTTTTATTTCAACCGACACACACCATTGTAAGAGTCTGCAATTTTTGTATATAAATAGGCGTTTAATACTGAAGACAAGACTTCACAAGCTTGTTAATAGCATTCTTGCAAAATCAGAGCATTTAAAGAGATTGTCTTTGCCTGAGGAGAAAGATACTGTCAGATCAGAGAACCACCAGAGTAAAACAACGAGTCCTCAGAATACCAAGATTTTTGAGAAACATGGTATATTTGTTCTAAATATTGACTGTCTTGTCACTGAATATGATGTTTGCCTTGAGCCAGCAAAGACATTGATTGAATTTCAGAATTGGGACAAAGTCCTCAGTTGTGTGGAAAAATGTATTGAAGAATTTCTGGTTAAACAAAACTTGCTCTCCAACCTGGAAGATTCAGCAACCTCAGATGTATCAGAGTCAAATGAGGATGGACCTGTTATGAAAACTTCATGTTATGCTAATCTTGAGGCTTTTGAGTACAAAAGGGAGATTGAAACCAGCAATGTTAACAAGAGCTTGCACTCTTCAACTGTTTTGAGGCCAAGGGAAGTTAAAAAAGTTGAATCACTTCTTGACACTTCTTGTTCAGAGAATGAATTTCCTGTCTTTTCTAGCTCTG